GTTTCATGGCGTACAAGCACAAGTACATGAACTGGGCTAGGTGGGACGAACACCAGCAGTTCCAGTAGAGGCCATACGTCGGGATTTGAAGCTCATGTCGTAGGTACGATTTATATTTATATTTTTAAAAGTGCTAAATTTCATTATTTTATTAAATTCTTATATTTAATTCAGAAATAATGAAATTAATTTACTTGGTAACAGATGTGATGTAGACAGACTTTCTTGAGTTTAGGCATAAGAATAAGATTCCGCAGATACTCCACAACCATGTTCAGTCATATCTTGATGTCCAGCCTGACAGTAATTGTGGTTTTCGCGTCATTGCGAGTTGCATGTTGAGTGGGCAGAATAATCATGTTTTGTGCAGACAGATAGTGTTCGATGAGGTTATAAATAATCATGGGCTTTACGGGAACCTTTACGCGTATGACAAATTTTATTTTGAGGTCCTATTTAATACACTTGCATCAATGTGATTTTATTTAAAACTTTGCTTTACTCATCTTTGTAGATGGGATAAATTACCTGAAAGCCTAGAGCGTATACAGTGGACTGGTATAAGCGATGGTCACTGGATGTCGACAGAGGACTTTTGTCCTATTGCTACATATTTCAATGCTGTTATATACTACTTCGGGACAAACGGCGCTGTAAATCTAAACGGCACATGTTGGACTATGCTTCCACTCATCACACGGGACGGGGCAACAAGACCAGAGTTCCAGATCGTTATTTGCCACCTTGAGCCCTACCAACACTTCATTCGACTCAATCTGCAGGGTGATTTTCCAATTCTACCTATTCACCCCATTTGGCATCAAGACCGTGATAGTAGTGTTATTGGTTGGGAAGTACCTCTTGAACCCATAATGCAACTATGCAGACTTTGGTCCCACAAGATCCCCCGAGAAGACCCAGACGGTCATTTGTTGATCTCGGGTGATATGTTGTTTTACATTTGGTTATGAAAATATGAAATATTTTATATGTTCTTTCCATACTTTTCATTCGTTTTTAAATGAAATGAAATTGAAAATCAAAATAAGTCCAAAATGTTTACAACGAAATGGTAACATACTCCAAAGGAAGATGACAATGAGTTTTCAATAACCAAATTCTAACCAAAGGAGTCGAATGTTATGGGTCTTGACTGTGACGGAAGATGATATCATCCAGGTGAGTATCCCACTGCAGACCAAGATCCAGATCGAGTTTCTTCCAATCTTCGATGCAACATCGACTCAACCTCTCCATCTCACGCATCCACTACAAATATTAAATAAAACCATATTAAACCCTTCAAGATAGTATGTGTGTCATTAAAATAAAATTCCATTGAGTGTTGAACTTACGTAAGTGGTGCAGTTCTTAGCTGGTATGCGTGACGTAGACGGGATGGACGTCGGCAGTATGAATGGATATGAATGGGTCCTGTACCAGTCGAGGTACTCTACAGCTGCCTGTCCTACCTCCGTAGACAACATCGGCATACAATAACTGAGGCTGATGCATTCCGATTCCAGAAATCTAACCCAACAGCTACTGTTCTCGGTACTCGGAGGATCAACAAAATACTTGTGTGCATTTTTCTCGTGAAACTAAGTGACCGGCGTGAGTGTCGCACGAGGTATATACTACACGTAACCGAGCTGGCGTAGCACTCTTCAGCATGTATGGCTCCTAGAAGTCGTGGTACATAATCCACCCACTGAAGATGGTCCTCAGATGTGCGGCCGCCTGTTCGCGACCGAATGGCTCCCATTCGACCTGCAAATGTTAACAAAATTTATTATATAGTATAATGAAATACCCCTTATGCAATACAAAAATAAAATATAACCACTACCTCTTGCTCAGTCATCACATCGAGTTGCGCACGAATCTGCTGGAGTCGACTCTGAATAAGTTTCGGGCCCTTATAGCTAACTGGTGTCAAGTCTTGGGCTCTAGGCCAACCATCAACACCTCGACGTTCCCGCCTCTTCGAGGGCTGGAAGCATGGAAAAAACTTATATATCCATGCCTAGAGAAGGGTCATACAACCAGCCATCGTGGTACACCCTACTCGACTAGCAATCCCAAGCTGACGGTAGAGGAATGCTAGTGTACCGGATCCTCAGGAGTAAGCTTCAATATTTTCGACACCTCCGTGGAGCTCGTTCATAAGCCACGGATCTCTGAGACTGTTGCTTGAGATTTTGAACCTCTTTAACCCCTCATAACAGTAAGACCATGTAAACAAGTGTAGAGAGAATGCTTCAAAGTTTGTTCAATTGAATTAAGAAACTCATCATCTTTTTACACATAAAGAACCCAACTCAAGAATCTTCAAATTCTTATAGCCGGCCACATCCAGGATTTGTAATACGCCATAATCATTGCTCACAGTATGAAAATACTTGAGATTTGGTGCATAACTTCTTGAGGAACATGATTATAATCAGCACAGAGATCATCATCATCCTCATCAACAATCTTCAAACACTCAATCAATTTCAACTTGTGATGTAATACTAATACATTGAAAGCATTGAAACTAAAACAATTAAAAAGCTTTTACTCCAGGCTTCCAGTAGTAGTCGTTAGTGAAAGCTTTGATCCTGTTAAAACAAGCTTACACAGATAATGGCCAGCAAGAATTCTAATACAAATTCAGAACCAAACTCTAATACAAATCTTCGGATACTTTCCTTTGCCGTTAATATTCAGCATTGCAACAAATATGGAAAGAGAAGAATTAGGTGTTTGATTATTGAATTTGATTCTTTCTTGGATTATTTAGTTAATCTGTTTCGAAGATCTGAATTCAAAAAGTAATGAAAAATTTTTTTGAATGGAGGTGGCAAATAGTATGGGGGAGTGATGGTGCGGCAGTGCGACGGCGGACTTATTAAAGGTAATGGTGATGCATATGAAAAAAGGAAAATAAAGATAATTTTTATAAAAATAATTAATTTTTTAATTTAAAATTTTGATGGACTAAACGAATGATCAAGTGCAATAAGGTATATTTCCTTACAATACGCCCTACGCTTAATCCAACAGTGGCCAGTTGTTTTAAGTGATCTTGCGATTTTAATTGACGACTAAGTAAATCAGGTGCCTAATCAGGAACCCAACAAAGCAAGCCTAACCGTATCCGAGAGAGAAGAGAATTACATGGGGGTGTTAATTAAGATCTGACCTACCTCTATCATCAGCCTTGTTGAGTAGAAAGAATGACTTAAAAAGATCACATAAATATAGTTTGCTTGGCACCTTAAAAGAAGAAAAATACAATTAATATCTTTTGAATCTTTTAAGCAATTATAATATATATATATATATATATATATATATATATGTTTGTTTGATAAAAATATTACTATGCCATTTGATACTTCGGGAGATGAATGGTAGCCTTCTAAGTTCTAGCTAGCCTTATTAGCCATTGTCTTTCAAGAAGGGAGAAAAGAGAAATGAAAATAAAAACGTAAACAAAATTAAAGAACAATTGACCTGATTATCTCCAACCAAACTTTTTCATCTTTAGTGGTTCCGAAATAAGAAAGGGCCTATAAATATTTGTAGATGCAACCCCATATCTCTTTTTTATTAATTAACGATGTTTATTTTTTTTTTAAAAAAAAAAACTAACAATAATTGATATTAAAAGACAAATACACTAATAATTCAGATATACACATAATAGATTATTACAAAACGTGACCATAGCTATAATTGATTGTAATTTTTATTTGTTTCACGTATTTCTCTTTTTTATTTTTTTATAATAAATTAATTGTGACAACTTGAATCGCCAAGTTGAGACGCATATCCATGCCATTCTCGGGTCATTAAAAATTGTGTGACATTATATATTTACATGTTAATATGTCACGTAGAGCCGGGCAACGCCCGGGTGATAACCTAGTTAGGATTTGAATTCATAGGGCATTTTTATTTTCTCTCGTTCCACGATATATAAAAGTCTTTTTATAAAAATTTTATACTTTGTGTTGATATCTGTATCATCTTTAATACCTAAATTTCACATGATATAAACTAGATTACACGATTTTTAGATTAATAGTTCGTATTAATTTTTTCCCCTTTTATAGACAGTAGAATAGTTAGAAATTTCACAAAAAAAGTATGCAAATTTTTATCAACATAATTATATAACATTATATATAATATTTTAGAAGTAAGTGCAAAACGACGAAAAAGTGACTACTATAAACAAAAGATTTAATATATCTCCACATCCGTACATAGCTCCGTTGCTGTTTCCACGGTCAATTAGCTAAATGAACTTATTGGAGTACAAAGATATTGCATGCCAAAAATGTAAAGGGCAAAAGAAAAGAAAAAGAATGAAGAAAACGAGAGTACGTACCTCAAATTATTGAGTTGAAGATAAAGGCCATAATCTATGAGTATTTGAATGCCTAGGAAACAGAGAGCTTGAAATGTTGTGATTGAACCAGCTGCAATTGGCCTCCTTTAATTTGGTTCGTTCAACCTACAAACTCAATACTTTATTTTATTTTTAAAATTTATTTTTTCCTTTTAGTACGTTGAGGAAGCTACATTTTTACTTACATTAATAATCTTTTAGCTTAGATATATGCCTAACAACTCATCCTGCCTAACTATAAGTACATATTAAGTATATATACTCCATCCATTCTTCTCTAAAAAAATGTCATAAGCCTATTACATGTAGTTTCTGAAATACTTAAATTGGATAAATAAATTATTAAATTATCCTTATCCATTTTGACAAATTAGGAGTGATCACCAATATTCTTTTAGGGTAATATTGAAAATTCTGAACAAAACTTGCATTAAAATTAGAAACAACACATAGTTTTAAAATTTATGTATTTTGAACAAACGACACTTATTTCAAAATAGAAGGCGTGCGTATAAACTTAAAAACAGTAAAAAATGACTCATATCATAACCTTAATAATTAGGGTATATATACAGGAACGCAAAAATCATGTCATAACTCATAAGAAAAAAAAGAAAGAAGAAGAATGTATGATCACCTTGGCATCAATATCCTGATCAAGAAGGTCATTAACGGTCAAAAGAATGTTTCTGTCCATGAAAGCAATAAGAAAGAAACGAGCCAACATCTTGAGGTCGAGAAGGGCTCCAGTTTCAGTTGCCATTGCCAGGGACAAGAAATACGGCCACCCTACTAACCACGGCGCGACGCTTTCGTATAATCTCAGAAGGTAAGCATACGGCCTGGCTTTCTCCGGAACATATAAATCAATCCAACAAGCATCAATATTATTATCAGTAGCTGAAGAAGCAGCTAGCTGTTTTTTTTGCTGCTTTTTCTTCATCACCTCCTGATGAGCTAGTGCTTTTAAATTCGCATGATGTTGCAATTGCGTTTCTGGGTTCAATTTGAACTTCAACTTGGAGATTGGTTTGTTGATTGGTGGTTTGATTCGACCAAGATTATGATGAGGATTAGGTTTGTTCCAGTTCAAACTGATGAGATGAGCTGCGGACAAACCAAGTTGTTTGGCCATTTTTTTATGAATGTTGTCTTTTGCCTCTTCAAAATGAGTTACAGTCAGAAATAGATAACTCACACCCTCAATGAACGTCTTCAAGGGAGTTCAAGTGGATTGAGCATACACACAAGGACTTTTCCATCAGCAGTAGCCTTTTACGTTCTATAAATCCCATCAATGTAATAATTTAGATACTCATAAAGTGTTTTTTTTTTTAAAAAAAAAATCCCATACTCCAGACAAAATTCTATCTCTTAAAAATAATATTCCGATCTTACAATAGGTTTAAAAATTTTTATATACGAATTCTGGAAGCCTCTTCTTAATTGATTTTGTGTTGGTCAAATACGTTACGCATTGACAACTTACATTTGTCAATTCTTTATTGGTTGGGACTTGAGAGATTTTGTTGTTTAATAGTTATGCATTTTCTTTTCCGGCATTACGATTTCTAATAAGACGGGTGTAGGGTTTTGTTTTCTATTGTTTGTGTGTGTGTGTGTGTTTTTTTTTAATAAAAAATCTTTTTATGGCCTGTTACTTTTTGATACAAATACCTGTATGATTTTAGTGTGGAAGGAATCACATCACCGTACTTTTTACTGTCTGACTTCATGAAATGAAATTAAATTTATTTGTTAAAAGACAGCTGATTCAGGCTTGGAGCTTATGGTGGTCTTATGATTTAAAATAGGTAATTCTACTTAAGTGCATGATAATTATAAAAATTTCAAATAATACATTCTTTTGGCCAAATAACAAGATAAGTGCATAGCAAATGATTTTCTCATTTACCTTTGTTTTTTATGGAAAGGAAAAAAAAGCATTAAAAAAATAAGAAAAATGCAATGGGGATAATAATTTTATTCAGTAAAATTATCCAATAACACATGAAAGTGCATGATTATTTTTTTAAAAAAAAAACGACCGTGGAATAAGTTCAAGGGTATTTTGGATCTTTTTATGTATGCCACATCTATACATATTATGGCCTTAAACCGGTCTATTATATATCTTCACTGTTTATTATTATTATTATTATTATTATTATTATTATTATTATTATTATTATTATTATAAAAATTACTTTATTGGTTCTAAAATTATTATATAATTTTAAATTTTTATTTTTAGTACAAATAACATAGACATGTATTCCAATTCCTATTTCTATAAATAGATTAATTTTACGATATAGAATCGCTAGAGAAAGAGTGGAACCATATGCCACATCAATTGGGTCAACACAATTACATGCATTGACGTTATTACCAAAACCATGTCATACATGTATTAAAAAAAAAAAAAGCCAAGAGATACGTTCTACAGCTATACTTTCCTTATTTAAGTTTCTAGTTGACACTTAAAAATCATTAATTTAATCGTCGATAAGATTTGTTCAGAGATTTATGTCATAGGAGATAGAGAATTATTAATATTTAATTATATCATTATTCTAAAAACTAGATCGGGGAATGTGGGACACCTGGTCTCGTTCCAACTCCCATTTCTATGAAGGTAGTAATTAAAATTTCCACTATCGTCATTACATGGGCACATTAATACCAAACCGACCTACTACAGGATATGTCATTCATTGTCACTTAAAATCATTGATTTTGATTATGAATGATCTATTCAGAGATGCCAGAGAGGAAAGAGAAAGAAATGTGTGCAGCAGGAGCATCCAGATACCTAGAGTTGACCAACCTGATTATTAATTATTTTCTCCATTTCAAAATGTAAATGAGTTTAAACTTTAAATGTAAACTAATAAGACAATCATTTAACAATTAATTTATAGATTACATATATATTTTATTCTTTATTAGTTACATTAAAACTATAAACAAGAATAAATAAAAATAAATTGCCATCATTTATTAAGGATAAAATTGAAAAAATAGTAATTAATTTGCCTAAAATTTGTAAAACGACCTACATTTTGAAAAATCGTTCCAAACCTAAAACGACCTATAAATTGAAATGAAGGGAGTAGTTAATTAGATGTTTGAGTAAACATATACTCCCTCCATTTTAAAATATAGGTCACATTATACTATAAACGTAAATTAAGAAGACAATTATTTAACAATTAATTTGTGCTCAAATATCTATTTACCCATCATTAATTATTTTGAAACTATCACAAAGACTAGATGAAAAGTGGTTAACATTATTTATTGAGGACAAAGTTAAGAAGTTCACCATTAATTTAGCTTGAAATCCTAAAATGGCTTACATTTTAAAATATTTCTCCAAACCTAAAAATTACCTACATTTTGAAATGGAGAAGTAATACATGAGATTGTCAGTTTTTAATATAAATTATATAAGCCCTGATATGTGTGTAATCTCTAGTTATAAGTTGTGTTCAGATCTAATTTCTGAAAAGTGAATGTCTAATTGTGCCTTAATTTGTTCATGCGGGTTTGTGCCAATAACCATTCTCGGGAAGGAAAAATAAGGGAATCATTTATTAGCTTTCTTCCCCAAAATTTGAGGGTACTGAATCCGATCCATATAGTCCCTACATTTCAATTTATAGTTAGTTTTTAAGTTTAAATAAATTTTTCAAAATATAGATCGTTTTATAAATTTTAGGCAAATTAATGATTATTTTTTCTATTTTACTCTCAATAAATGATGTTAATATATTTTTATTTAGTCTTGTTTATAGTTCCAATGTAATTATTGAGGTGTAAAATAGATATTTAACACATAAATTAATTGTTAGATTATTATTTTTTTAGTATACGTACAAAGCCTAAAGTAACTTACATTTTGAAATGAGTGGAGTATAATGATATTGAATAGTGAAAAATAAAAATAGAAACTATAGTTCTTATTCTTAAAAAAAATATTACTATTACTTTTTCTGCCTAAATTTACAACAGATCCCCAAACCTCAATTTAGTTGGAAATATATGGGCATGTTTGTTGTTGTTGAATTTACTGTATCGATCATATTTCAAGATAAGAAAATACATTAAGTGATTCTTTACTTCAGTCTAAATTGTAATGGAAATTTGATGTGTGTTTAGTGGTCTCATTTCATTCTTTTATTTTAATGTCTTTTCAACAATTATAAAGACATATTTCAATCAACCAACACTTAGGGTTCATGGATTGTGTTGGTAGCTCGTTTTTTTTTTTTTAATTTTAATGGATTATCCATACAATCTAAAATTAATTCACTTTTCTAATCCCAAATGAAAACGAAATTGTGGTTCATTCATCCCAATTAACCTATCAATAAGTACATGAGTTTATACTCTACTGATGAGAATTGTAGATATTTTTTATTAGGGGTTTTAAGGTAGCAGGTTGCAGAATGAACTGCTCATTTTTATCCAAAAGACAATATTGTAAAATTGCAACAGTGCCAAAAAAGAAAAAAGAAAAAAAGAAAAAGAACGAAGAAGATAGAAAAGTCAATAAGGGATGGAACTGGTGTACTCTCCGTTGTCATTTTCACCATTTAATTTCTGACCCTTTTTAACAATAGTGAACTACAGATCTTCTTATCTAGCGTATTGGTTAGTAAGAGTATTGTCAGGATTAATTTGAAAATTAGAGTTTTATGTTGCGACAAGAGGTTTGTAATACTACTATTATTTTGGAGTGAAGAAATAAAAGATTAGTGGTTAACTTTTTGTAGCTAAGAGTCAAGTACTCCATCCGTTAACTAGGACGGATATATCATTACAAACTTTAAGGATTAGAAGATTATTTTTGTGGGCTCCTTTATTTCCCTTGTATGTATTGATGACAAAAATCTCGCCGTTATTTCATTTGTTTGAATTTTATTATGTAATGTATTGATGACAAAAATAATGTTTGTTTCATTTTTTAGTGTGTGTTTTTAAGTGTTTTTTGTATTGTCAATATAAAAAAGTGTATTGAAAATATTAAAATTTATGTGGGGATGGTACAGTTATTAATAAATTAATTTGAAAAGACAAACTTTTTTTTTACTTTTTTTTTTCTTTTCTCTTTAATTAGACAAACTTTCATTAATTTTATTGAAAATTGTCTGAAATCGATTAATTGCCAGTATAGTAGAAATACGGTTGTTAAAACAATACAACTAATTAATTACACTTTCTAATCTATGGGATTAATCTTCAGTAAAAGTCAATATGTGAAAATGTTACCCAATATGCATTTGTTTGTGTTTTCAAATTACAATGGCAGTTCACCAACAAAAATATGGTCCAAAGAGAAATCTTACAAAACTACCTTGGTTTGGTTCTGACCCGGGTTCGTATTCATGCATGTATGAACATATAACAATAATTCAAATATTCAGTGAAAGAATCTTCCTTTAATATTTATTGGAAAATTTCCTTCAAACACTGTTTATATATATTATAAAAGATAAATAACTACGTAGGGCAGTACAACAATGCATTGTTCTAGACTGTCAACCGAATGACCTCGGTCGTAACAGGAGTAAGGTAAAGATTGAATTGTGAATTGTTATTGATGGTTAGGAAGGTCGCTCCTTCTGACAATATATTGATTGTTTGTTAAAATTTAGTTTGGGCTAATGTCTTTGTACCACATCGGCCCTCGCACTCCTTACTAGATTTTTTTGTATCCACCTCTATTGTTAATTGATTAAAGTGAATGTTTGATTGATTTGTTACATGACAAATATTTTGATAAAAAGATTTTACTATCGTATGATTTCTCAAAGTTGTGTTATTAAAAGTCTCGTAGTAGTATTGTGAGGAGCTCATGGAGCTCGGTGCTGATTACCCCCCTTTTTATCCATATATACTATCCCCGATTCTCTCCCAAGTTTAAAGGAAAGATCGAAGAATGCTACAGGGAACATATGACCCATTCATTTTGTCATGAAATCGGGTTGATGAATTTGAGTGGAGATTAGATGGTATCGCGCCTTGGGTGAGAGCTCGGCAGACGAATCAGCTGATCGCGAAGCACGACGTGGAGCTGTTAGATATACTCCTGAATTGCAGTTCCAGTTTTAATATTGTTTTTAGAAACTGCAGTAAGAAATTAGGACAACGGCATCTACACTTTTATTTGAAGCCATGAAAATCATCTCTTGATGCTCTAAACATTCGCAATAAAACTTTAATCAGATTTTTTTATTTATGTTATTCTATTTCATTTTGTAAGATTGAGCCATCTCACCAATTCTTATTCAGTCTGAAGTAAAACAAACAAGTTTCTAAATGATAATCTTCCCTGCAATTTTTTTTTACTTTATAAAATAATCAAGAATGAATTATCAATCAATAAGTTTTTGTTATTTTACTAAAGTAATTTAATGGCTTTTACGTAAATGTACATACTCATCAATTAAAAAGTACATTCTCATCTTCTAATGTGCATTTCTATTACAACTAATTGCTCAACGTATTTCCACCTTCGTCAGGACTTGGAAGGTAAAAGATCTAGAAGGACAAAATATATGGAGTTTTACCCATAAATATTTTAATACACAGATCAAAGATCGAGAAAAACTTGTTTGTTTAATATAATATTGCCATCTCTCAAGTGAGAAGTTTTCCGAGGGTGATTCCTATGAAGAGAATACATCCGACCCACTTGTTGGACATTTGTCTGATATCAACAAAGAAAGTCACCATAAGAAAAATGAAAAATTAAATATGAAATAAAAAAGGAACCCAAAAAAAAAAAAAAACTTTACCATACAATGAAGAACCCTGTTGTGAAAATAAAAACAACAAATTGAGTATAACAATTCAAGTTTTTAGGAATGTGCATGCACATCCATTGCATAATTGTGTTTACAAGTGGGTTTTAGTGCATGCCATATAAATATATAAAAAAGATTCGTACATTTGAAAATCGTGACATGTCGAAAATTGAACATTAATTACAAAATTTAAAACAAATGAGAAAAAAATAAAATAAATTGGTAGATTTAAATAGTAATTTATATAATAAACTAAATACTTACTTTTTTATACAATCGATGGGGTCATCAAGATCGACTGTTACAATCTGCCAAATCAAGTGGGAAGTAACAACCACCAGAGATGCAAAATATGGCCATCCTGGACAAAGGAGATAACAAAAGAATGTGTATAATTATGTAGTAAATAAATTTTGGGTTAATTTAGAATTACTAATAGCACCAATTACGATAAATGAATGTGGAAGAAGGTTATAAAATTACCAAGCTTTGCATTAAATCCAGTAAGAGCAAAGCCAGAAATGGTTGCTATTCCAAAACCCGTGAGCCAATTTTTTATTGAGTCACCAAACAGAATGGCTGTGGATTTCAGCCCCAACTTCTCATCTTCTTCTTTATCCTACACCATCAATGAAATTACTTGAGATTTATCCCTCTCTAAAATATATCGAGATTTTATATAACCAAAAATAAAATAAAATAATGCAGTGTAAAATTTGTTTATTATTCATGAACCGAAAAATTACTTGCTCCGTATATTTAAACAATCCTTTTTCTTATCGTACAAAAAAGTAGACTAGAGTAAGATAGAGGTTATAAATATTTTTTTTATAAATTATTTATTTATTTATTTATTTTGATCAAATATAAATGATGAACAAGACTATACATGTTAGAGCATATGGTCTCACATCATATTTCCTTATCAGTATATATGAGTCATTTATGAGATATTGTATTCTAATAATAGTACTCAATTTCTTTATATATCCATGGTGAGTAAAACGGAGAAAACTAAAGCTATTAAAGGTTTAATTATCACCGGGGAGTCTAATTTTTTATTTTTATTTTTTGAAATGTAACAAAGGAAAAAGCTATGGACCAATCTAATTTTATAAGGTCCATCCTAACGATTCCGTATAAATTTCAAATCTAATTACTCAGCAACAATTTGAAAAATTAATCACTTCAATGAATCAAGTCTTAATTTATCTCTTTCTAAAATTGGGAAAAAAGTTACCTGACAGGAATATATTGTCTCATACAAAAGGGTCCAAAAGAAACCTGAAATGTAGAGTGGGAATAACACATTGGCAGGTGCAAAGCTCCCTTTAACTGCAGCCCAACTCATAAACGCTCCCACATGCATAGTCATACTGAAATAGGCTTGCGACTGAACCAACAATTATAATATTATAAAACTTATTCTATTTTTCAAAAAAGATTAAAATATCATTTAAAATTATGGAAAAATACCAACCCAGTATGTTAATCTCTTGGTGAGAGGATAGACAAAACTAAACGTCAACCATAAAATCCATACTTTCTGGCTGGAAATAGGAAATAAATAAAAGTAAGTAGTGATGGAAAAATTAGAATTCGAAATCATATGGCATTTTTTTTTCTTTTGGTCGAGATATAAAAGTCTTTTTACAAAGATTTTATAATTTGTGTTGGGAATGAAGAAAACGAGAGAGTACGTACCTCAAATTATTGAGTTGAAGATAAAGGCCATAATCTATGAGTATTTGAATGCCTAGGAAACAGAGACCTTGAAATGTCGTGATTAAACCAGCTGCAATTGGCCTCCTTTTGGTTCGTTCAACCTACAATTCAATTTTTTTTTTTCCTTTTAGTACGTTGAGTAAGCTACATTTTAACTTACATTAGACATGCCTAACAAGTCATGCTGCCGAACTAACTCAATCATTGGGAATCAACCAAAATTTTACTAGCTAGCTATAAATTTTAACAAGGCCTATTAAAAGGAGAAGGAAACCACAAATTAATATTGCTAATGCAGTAATTAAGGAGAAATTGAGTAACGCGTGTAATTGGATCATCCGTGGTTGTATACAGAAGCATGTATTAAGTATATATACTCCATTCATTCTTCTCTAAAATAAATGTCGTAAGCCTACTTACATACAGTTTCCGAAAAACTTAAATAGAATAGGTAAATTATTAAATTATCCTCAATCTATCTATTTTGATAAATTAATATTCATCATCAATATTATTTTTTTAAGGGTAATTTTAAAAATTCTAGAAAAAAATTACATTGTTGAAAAATATGAACAAAAATTACATTGTAATAAAAAACGACACTTATTTTAAAATTTCTCTATTTTACTAAAACGACGCTTATTTTAAAATAAAGGGAAAAAGTACTTGAAACAGTAAAAAATGGCTCATATCATCACCTTAATAATCAGGGTATAAATTAAGGAACGCAAAAAACATGTCATAAGTATAAAAAATAAAATTAAAAAAAAAAAGAAAAGAAGAAGAAGAATGTATGATCACCTTGGCATCAATATCCTGATCAAGAAGGTCATTAACGGTCAAAAGAATGTTTCTGTCCATGAAAGCAATAAGAAAGAAACGAGCCAACATCTTGAGGTCGAGAAGGGCTCCAGTTTCAGCTGCCATTGCCAGGGACAAGAAATACGGCCACCCTACTAGCCACGGCGCGACGCTTTCGTATAATCTCAGAAGGTAAGCATACGGCCTGGCTTTCTCCGGAACATATAAATCAATCCAACAAGCATCAATATTATTATCAGTAGCTGAAGAAGCAGCTAGCTGTTTCTTTTGCTGCTTTTTCTTCATCACCTCCAGATGAGCTAGTGCTTTTAAATTCGCGTGTTGTTGCAATTGCGTTTCTGGGTTCAATTTGAACTTCAACTTGGAGATTGGTTTGTTGATTGGTGGTTTGATTCGACCAAGATTATGATGAGGATTGGGTTTGTTCCAGTTCAAACTGATGAGATGAGCTGCGCACAAACCAAGTTGTTTGGCCATTTTTTTATGAATGTTGTTTTTTCTTTTTTCTTTGAAATGGGTTATTGGCAGAAATAGATAACACACACCTAGGAACGTCTTCAAGGGAGTTCAAACGGACTAAACATGCACGTCTAGAGTTTATCCAACAATATTATCTCTCTACTCCTAGGCCCCATATCCATGTAATACTAGTTTAGACATGGTTTTAAAAAGAAAAACTCACTACCCGCTCCACACAAAATTCGATCTCTTAAAAATATTATTCCAATCTTAGAATAGATCTAAAAATTTCTACATCCGCATTCTCAAAGCCTCCTCTTTAATTTGCTCTACATAATTAACGCATTGTAGGTTTTTTTTTTTTTTTCTGGTCAAATACATTACGCGTTGTCAACTTACATTTGTCAATTCTTTATTGGTTTGGACTTGAGAGATTTTCTTCTTTAATGCATTTCCTTTTCAGTATTACATGTGTTGAGACTTGAGATACTTGGGAAATTTTCCGTCTCCCCGGTCAGACTTGCCGGCGTTCCAGCGGTCAGAACCAATTGACTTCCAATAAGACCGGCGTAGAGTTTTGTTTTATTTGTTTGTTTGTTTTCTGTTGTGTTGTTTTCTTTCTTTCTTTTCTCTTTCTTTTTCTTTTTCCGAAATCTTTTTACGACCTGCTCTATAATCAGTCTAATTATGGTGATACTTTTGATAACCTTAGTGTCATTTGCGAGTCAGGGGTGCGTAATGTGTTTGGGGGCAAAGGTTACTTTTTGATACAAATACCGATGATATAAGATATTAGTGTGGAATGGAATCACATAATGGTACTTTTTACTGTTTTACATCATAAAATGAAATTCATTTGTTTGTTGTCAGACAGTTGATACAGAGGCTTGCAGCTTATGGTGGTCTTATGATTTAAAATAAATAAGTAATACTTTGGCCAACTCTCCCACCCATCGAGGTACTTACCATAAGCGAAAGAGATTAGTTACTGTTACCGACGGTGTAAATCTTGTAATGTAAAATAAAAAGGTAACACTTAAGTGCAAGTCCATAATAATAATTATAAAAAAATTTCCAATAATATATTCTTTTGGCCAAATTACTAAATAAGTGCATATGGAATATTAATTTTCTCATGTACGTTTGATTTTTATGGAAAGAAAATAAAAAGGCATTAAAAATAAGAAAAATACTATGGGGATAAGAATTTTGTTCAGTAAGATTATCCAATAATAACACATGAAAGTACATGAAATTTTTTTTTTTTTGTATTTGTTTTTTTGTATTGTTTTTTAAACAACCTAACTATATTCTTGAAATGTAAGTGTATTTGTTCTTTATGTATGCCACATCTATACATATTATGCCATTAAACCAGTCTACTATATATCTTCACAGTTTATACTATTATTATTATTCTGAAAATTACTCCATTAGTTCTAAAGTGATTATAAAATACAAATTTTTAGTTGAGTAAAAATGATATATCACGGAATATAGGACATGTCGTCTTATTCCAACTCCTATTTCTGTACATACGTTAATTTTACATTATATCATCGCTAGCGAAAGAGTAGAACCACATGCATGTTCAGTTGGGTCAACACAACATGCATTGACATTAATACTAAACCATGTCATAGATGTATTAAAAAAAAAGTAAAAAAAAAAGCCAAGAGATCTGGTTTTATTATTTAAGTTTCTAGTTGACACTTAAAAATCATTAATTTCATAACCGATAAAGATTTCTCCAGAGATTTATAGGGGATAGAGAATTATTAATGTTTATCATATCATTATTCTAAAAACTGGATCGCGGAACATGGGACACCTTGCCTCGTCCCAACTCCCATTTCTATGAATGCTGTAATTAAATTTACATTACAGAATCGATCAGTTGGCTAAAACACTATTAACACGTCATTGCATGGGCATTAATACCAAACCGACCTACTACAGCCTATGTCATACGTTGTCACTTAGAAAACATCGATTTTGATCATGAATTGACCAACCTGAATACCTGATTATTAATTAGTTAAACTAGATGTTTGTGTGAACATCTAGATTAGTTAAACTGAATACCTGATTATTAATTAGTTCAACTACATGTAGTACATAAGATTGTCAGTTTTAAATATATATTATATAAGCCCTGCTATCCGGGTAATCTCTTGTTATAAGTTGTGTTCAGGTCTAATTTCTGAAAAGTGAATATCTTATTGTGCCTTAATTTATTCATGTGGGGGTTTGGGCCAATAACCATTCTCGGGAAGGAAAAACTAGGGAATCACTTTCTTCCCCAAAATTTGAGGGTACTGATCTGATCCATATCTACTGAAATTGAATAGTAAAAAATAAAAATAGAAACTCATTCTATTCTTAAAAAATGTTTTTTTTCTGGATGAATTTACTGTACCATTATATAATTATAAGTGTAAGACTGCATAGATGTTAATGCTCCAAACTCTAACTTGATAGGGAAATATATTGGTATGTTGTTGTTGTATAAATTTATTGTATTGATCATATTTCAAAACAAGAAAATACATTAAGTGGCGTCCTTACTTCGATCTAAATTGCAATGGAAATTTGATTTTAGTGGTCTCATTTCATTCTTTTTTATTTTAATGTCACTTCAACAATTATAAAGACATATTTCAATGAACCAACACTTAGGGGTTCATGGGTTGTGGTCATGTGGTGGTAGCTCGTTTTTCAATTTTAATGAATTATTCATACAACCTCTAACGAATCACTTTTCTAAAAAAAAAATGAAACAAAATGGTGGTTCATAATGCCAATTAATCAACCTTTCAACAAGTATATGAGGTTACTCCACTGTTGAGAAAGTAGATTATTTTATTATTTGATTTAAGGTAGCATGTTAGAAAATGAACTACTCATTTTATCCAAAAGACAAAATTGTAAAATTGCAATAGAGCCAAAAAAAAAAGAAAAAGAAAAAAAGAAGGACATAAGAAAATAGAAAAGTCAATTAGGGATAGAAGTGGTGTATTATCTGTTGTCATTTTCGCCAGTTAGGACAGATCTTCTGGTTAGTAAGAGTATTGTCAGGATTAATTGGCAAATTAGAGTTTTATGTTTGGACAATAGAGGTTTGTAATACCATTACTACTTTGGGTGAAGAAAGATATACTCCCTCCATCCTAATTTAATAAACCCATTTAGACATACAGGGAGATTAAGAAAAAATAACTGATGTAATTTAATATTAGTTGTCAACTATTATAACTATGAGTCTTAGTGACGTACTCCATCCATTGACTAGCTTGATAACTATTTTGAGAGGATGGATATATCATTTACAAACTTTATGGATTAGAAGATTTTTTTTTGTTGGGATCCTTTATTTCCCTTATATATATTGACAAAAATCTCGCCATCATTTTCATAACAAAAGAAGAAGGAAACTAAAAGACTTTATTAGTCGAATATTCCAAGGAACGAAATTTGGAAAAGTCACTGGAAAATGGAAATGGGTTTACATTGACTGGAAATTTGGAAAATTTGGACAAAAAGATTTTTTTTTTTTTTGTCCTGTACCACAAAAAAAAGGAAAAATAAAAGGACATTTTTGTAATTAACATTCAGGGGTTCAACTATGGTGTATGGTCAACAAAGAGGGGGCTGGATTAATTTAACAATGGGAAAGACATCTAAAGTTTGATACCCTTCCGGTTCCATTCGAGAATCAAATTCTACTGCTTCTCCGATCTCCATCATCGTCATCATAAGTCTTCTCTATCCAAAGTTACCGTTTATAAATTAGTGATACCAAAAAAATAAAAATAAAAATGAAAAGGGCTGTCAAGGTGGCCGTGATCGGAGCAGGGCTGGCGAGCCTGGTAACGGCCCGCGAGCTGAAAAGAGAAGGCCACGAGGTAGTGATTTACGAGAAGTCCGACCGTGTCGGAGGATTATGGGTTTATGATCCTCAAGTTGAAGATGATCCATTGAGTTTGGATCCAAACCGGAAGATAGTTCACAGCAGCCTTTTCCGTTCGGTTCTGGCCACTTTCCCGAGAGAAATCATGGGGTTTTCGGATTACCCCTTCTTCCCTGTGGATGATGAAAATCATGGTACTACTATTCACGCAGAATTCCCTCCCCATGAGGAAGTGCTGCATTTTCTGAACCATTTCGCCAAGGATTTTGAGCTGATTCAGCTCATCCGGTTTAACACCCAAGTGACTCGGGTTGCACTGAGTAATGATGATGAAAAATGCTCCTGGGTCGTCGAATCAGTGTCGAAAAACGTTGGTTCGGCGTCGGAGTTGTTTCAGGCCGTTACGGTTTGCAGCGGTCATTTTACTCTTCCAAGACTAGCCGAGCTTCCAGGTAGGGTCCAAATTTGCATGGTGTACCTTTTATGAAAAGTAAATATATTCAGCCAGTGGTCATTTTGTAAATACGCAAAAATAGTTATGAAATTTAAAATAAATTCCATCTTGTATTGTTATCACTTAGCATTAATTCATTAAGTTGTTTGTGTACGTAGTATTTTTTCTGTTCCAAAATGATTGTCTTATCTATGATTTTACTCTTTTAGTGTAATTAAACATTAAAAACGAAAATTCAAATTAAATAATCATATAAATTGAGAGAATATAATTTTTTTTTCTTTGTTTCTTGTTTGGCTCTTTTGATTGTGCATTGTTGGTCTCTGACAGGGATTGATCAGTGGCCAGGAAAACAGATCCATTCCCACAACTATCGGGAACCCTCGTCATTCGAGATCAGGTTTTAATAATTCGCTAATTCAATGTACTCATTACGTTTTAAAATAAAATTTATATGTCTTTCTATTTTTTAAAAAAACAAACATGACTCCTTTTATCAAATATATGTAATACTAATAAGTGGCTTTATATTAGTCGTGCATATTTTAGGCTTAACCTAGTCAAATCAACCTTCACATCTTTCTCTTAATTTATTGCACGTCCCCTCTCATTAAGGATGTGTCATTTAAATTTTGGTAAAAGAAAGTCGGCGACTCTTTTTTTTTTTTTTTTTTCCCTTTTCTTTACTCTCTTTATGCATCTCACAATTTGATTATCTTGTTCCTGAATTCGAAAAGAAAAATTTGGGTAAACTTAGGAGCTAGGAATAAAAGTCGAGAAACTCAAAAAATTAAATAACAATTACAAGTGATAGTATCCTATTATTACTCCATCCATCCTAGAGAAATAGTTCAGTTTGAAAATGTACAACTTTTTTAATTTGGTCAACACACCAAATGTACAACTCATTTTATACCCATAACTTCCACTGAATGCCCCCTCTAGTTATTTCTATAAAAGTTAACTGCATATGTATTTATTTTACAACTTAAATTTGATCAAAATTTTTATCTCAAAAAATATTGACAATGGATCTTGATGGAAAGATCTCGTGTATGTAGGCCACACTATGCACGAGTCAATCTATTTGACATTCACGTTTCTAATCTGATGAGAAACCAATCTCATTCAAATAATCAGCTTATTTCCAACATCAATATTATTATCAGTAGCTGAAGAAGCAGCCAGCTGTTTTTTTTTTTGCTGCTTTTTCTTCATCACCTCCAGATGAGCTAGTGCTTTTAAATTCGCATGTTGTTGCAATTGCGTTTCTGGGTTCAATTTGAACTTCAACTTGGAGATTGATTTGTTGATTGGTGGTTTGATTCGACCAAAATTATGATGAGCATTAAGTTTGTTCCAGTTCAAACTGATGAGATGAGCTGCGGACAAACCAAATTGTTTGGCCATTTTTTTATGAATGTTGTCTTTTGCCTCTTCGAAATGAGTTACAGTCAGAAATAGATAACTCACACCCCTAATGAACGTGTTCAAGGGAGTTCAAGATTGAGCATACACACAAGGACTTTTCCATCAGCAGTAGCATTTTACGTTCTATAAATCCCATCAATGTAATAATTTAGATACTCATAACGTGTTTTTTTTTTAAAAAAAAGAATCCCATACTCCAGACAAAATTCAATCTCTTAAAAATAATATTCCGATCTTACAATAGGTTTAAAAATTTCTATATACGAATTCTAGAAGCCTCTTCTTAATTGATTTTGTGTTGGTCAAATACGTTACGCGTTGACAACTTACATTTGTCAATTCTTTATTGGTTGGGACTTGAGAGATTTTGTTATTTAATAGTTATGCATTTTCTTTTCCGGCATTATGACTTCCAATAAGACGGGCGTAGGGTTTTGTTTTTTATTGTTTGTGTGTGTGTGTATGTGTTTTTTTTTTTTAATAAAAGATCTTTTTATCGCCTGCTACTCTATTATATCTTTATATAATCACTCTAATTATCGTGATATTCACTACAAGAAAAAAGCCCGTTTAGCCACCAGGGTATATAGTCATTAAAGGCCTAAAGTCGTCACTAAATCTTCATATTGACGACAATCCAATCGTCACATGTTGGACACTATTGATGGTCCCTAAATCATTAAAGTGACGACAAATTAGATGTTTGACACTAAAGCTATCGGTTAGCGACTAGAAGCAAGTTGTCACAAACTCTATTCACGACAACATGTTGTCACATTGTTATGTCACTCAAAGGAATATTTCGTCAGTAAAAGTACATCTTTTAGTGGCCAGATTTTTCCAATGACCAACCACGATTGTCAATACAAGTTTCAGTCAACTCTTTTACTGACCACGAGAAAGTGATGTCATAATACCTTTATGACGACAAAACATCGTCATCCATTATAGAGAGGAGTGATGCTGATGCACGACAACATATTATCACTAAATGAGCTACCCCACAGTGTCGATTCTTAGTGACGATTCATGTCATCAATAGAACATTAAAATTGTGACTACCATTGAAAAATAAAAACTCGTCACTATTGTTAAAAACAGTGACACTATTATATGGTAGTAATAATCGTCACTAGAGTTTTTTATTAGTCACCAATGATGGCATTTACTGACGTAGTTTGTCGTTGTTAATCTTAGTGACAAATAAAAAAAATAAATAAACAAAAACAACCATATAAATAATTTCATATAAAAATATTATAAATATCCAATCGGGCCACTATGAAATTATTCGCTAAAAAAAAAAACTTCATTAAATGAAAAAATTACAAAATAATGTATTTGATGATACCAATCGTTTTCATTTACATCATTTATTCATTCATAACTACAACGAAGTATTGCACATATCTGATTCTATTCAAAAATTTTTAAAAAGCTTTCATGATGAGTCATTGCAATGGATACAAGGTAAGAAGAAAACAAGAAATATTAGTTATTTGATAGCAATTACATGATCCAAAACTACTTAAACTATGTTACATAATGAAACAAAAATTAAAAAAAAACTTACGTTTACCTTAGATTTCACTAAGTATTTCTGTGCATTGAATTCTGTCTTTATGGTACGTCGAATGCAATCCTCTCCTATTGGGCAATCCTTGTACTTGAATCCTATCTACATAGTCAATAATAAGATTAATTTTTAAAATAAAAATTTAGATAATACTGTTAAGTAAAGAATCTCGTACCAGTGCAGTCCTAAAGATATTAGTTTTTATTTTCTCATCTTGAGATTGAAAATTTGGTGCATCAAGATTTGCAAACCTCCGTACTGCGCATCGTACTGAACAACGAAAAAATTGAGTATTCGGGCCAGCTATAGTCCTAGAAATTTCATCAAACTCGAGACATAAACTTGTTTGCCGAATTTTCCTATGTTGCCAACCTACCATTGAAATATAATACAAAAACATTAGATTTAAAGAAGATTCAGTAGAATTAAATTTGTAACATGTCGGCATATATCTATTTAACAAAAAAAATAGTAAAATTTGACCTGAATGAGCACCGCTATTAGCTCCTTGTGTGGCCATCTATATTACAAAAGGTAAACCATTTAAACTTAGAAACTATTAAAAAAAATAAAAGGTAAACTCATTATGACATTAAAGTGAATAATCATTCACACAAAAAAAAATTATAAGAACCCTCAAACATGACTTGAAGATGAAATTTTATTAATCATGTACCAAAAGAATTTTGTCAGGCAAAAAGGCTAGTACAAGTGCAATTGATAACGTACCACCATCTATTTGGCCACAAACATTGAAACCAAATTCAATAACCACAACTAATAAAATTTTGGTAACCATACATGCAACATTTCCTTTAAAGTCTGTGGGGATATCTTTGGTTCAATGAAACTCAGATCTTCCTCCTCCTCTTCTTCTTCTCCAGGAAGTTCATTCAAATCAAAATTTTGATCAGCAGGTAGGTTTAAATCAAAGTTAAGTGGTTTCTTCTTTTCTTCCTCATTAAGAAGCTTTTTGGTTTGATGTTTTGTCATCTCCTTTTCAGCATTCATCTTCTAATTTGACAAAAATCTGAACTTGGATTATATTTACTTACGTCAGTATTGCAACTTTATAAGACTCACAACTTTATAATCCCTATGTCCCATAAAACTATAATATTATCACATTAATTCTTTTATCAACACTAAACGACCCATTATGCATGAGCAAAACTTCATAAAAAAGAACTCCGATAATCCAAGAAAACCATTTGACATGACTGAATCGTCTATTACACTTTATAAAATAAGGATGGTTACGGAATAGTCAGAATCAAATAATAAACAAAAACATGTGATAATTTCATTATGCGATCACTAAATATTTGTAATCAAACAAAATTCACTATTGCAATCAAATAAAAGTATCAATATGCAGAGTTTTCACAATAAAGAGATATATAAAGATAATCTTGTAGCTTTCGCATTGAGGCATTACTGTTATTACTAATAAAGTAAAGAGATTCTATGATTTTATTTGACAAACATATGAAACCTAAGAATTTCCAATGAGAATTAATCAAACAAATCCATCTCTCTCATTTTACACTTTAGAATATGTCCATAAGTTAAACAAGCCAATCCGTGTCTCTCATGAATCAAACCATTCCGTTTTCTGATTTCTATTAGTTAACGTCAAAACTTAGCCCAAAGGTTAAGAAACTCAAACAAAAAAAAAACCATTGAAGCGAATCCATAATTTCTTGATCATTTCTTGCCCTTTACAAAACCCACAAAATATATATTATCTTTTGCAATTAAAAGAAGATATATAAATAGAAGCAAAAATTCCGGATCCTAAATCACATTGAATGAATACGGACGTAGCAAAGAACGCGAGATTGTACCTTGGTTTCGTAACTTTATGTCCAGCAGCAAATAACGAGGGTTTGTTCCTTGGTTTCAGTAGCTTTTGGTAGGCAGATCTCATACACAATTTTGTTATATAAAAAAGACAATGAACAAAAACTAAGAAACCACGGGATGAAGTTAAAGAGCACCTAGTTTGGTGAAGGTAGTTACGGTAATGGGGAGGAGTTATCCATATCCTTTAAAGTGGGGGGAAAAGTTCAGTTACACCAAATTTAACTTAAAAAATACAACTTTCAAAGATAAAAGATTATTACTTTATATTATACTACTTGCAAAATAATTTCCTTTTGGCACTTATGCTGCTTGAATTTTCCGAACTCTCGATTATTCGCGTGTTCCATTTGGGTTTACATTATAATAAACCATTCATTCATTCTACATATTTCTGGTTTAAAAAAAAGGTAGTGAGGATACTAAAATGAACATCTATAATTTAAGAGCACAAACCCACTCTTGAACTAAGTCTAGCTTACTAATTAAACAAAAAAACAAAAACAAAAACAAACCAGCCACTATGCTCTTTTAGATGCCAAATCCATTTGACAAATTTAAGGTTAAAAAAGAAAAAAATTCTGTTTGTTATATTTTGGCCAACAAAACACCACCACAACACCACGCTTAACTTCTGAATTTTATTTAATACTATCCTTCCTTCCATTTTCGCCTAACTTCTGGATTTCATTCCCTTCCCTTCCATTTCTGCCTAACTTCTAAATCTCATTTCCTTCCCTTCCCTTCCACATGTCTTAGATTTTCCTAGCAAATCCTAGTAGCATTCTTGTGCGGAAGTCGAAGAAGAAAATACTAAGGAATTCGAAAGTAAGAGAGATTGGTCAAGGAGTCATCGATGTTGCTGAATCTCGTAGGCCAACTGAAGCAGAGCTCGAAGGATTGGGAATGGAAGCACGGGAGTTTGGGGAGGAGCTGAAGCTTAGCCAAAATTCTACTCGATTAAAATTAGCCTCACTTGTAAGTAATTCCTATCTAAAGATGAATTTGGAATTCAGTTTAGTTTAGATCAATTTTGGTTAGTTATTTTATGTTTTCAACTATGAAACAATTTGCAGACTTTCAGTTTACGAATTCCTCCATTGCTAGTTTTGAAAACTCAATTTAGTCATTTCTTCTTTTAGCCAAACATATATTGGTTACTCGTACCACTCTGCTATCATTTGTTCCCATTATTTACTCATTCTGATTGGGTATTCCATTATCATTCCATAGAAGTACTTGTAAAGGTTTCACCATTTTCTCAATCGTTCTCTTATTTATTAAAAATTGGCCAATGATCCAAGTTAACTTCAAAGAAAAATCTTGAGGGTGCACATAATTGTGCGTGGTTAACTGGTAGTAGCTGTTTAGGGAACAACCTTTGCTTAGTTATCTTTCTGTGAGTCAAACTAGGACAATGAGGCTGAGTAGGAAACTAAGATATAAACGTATCTCTACCTCGACTAACCATTCAACTTGCATAACAATAACCATAAAGATCAAGTCAATTTAAATACCAAAAATTAAACTTAAAAGTAAATAATAATGTCATAAAGATCAAGTCGACCACAAACTTTTTTGCAAATATCAAAAAAAAAAAAAAATTACAATTACCCTTAACCCATACTAAATAAAATAAACTAAAAAATGGTATTCCAATGTGCACTTCACAACTTCTACACCCACTGATGCAGTCTTCTTTCTGATCCAATGTCATAGTCGTTTGCGACAACGAAGATAACCACAAGGAGACAGTTAAACATCTCATCAGAATCTAGTTTGTTGGTTGAGTCACTGCAGCAGTTATTTCATTTAAAGAAAGGATCAATTAATTAGGCAATGATGCAGTGTACCTTAAATTGTCATAGAGGTACTAAAATATATTGTGAAAGTAATTATGGGTAGCATTCTTTGGAATTCAAAAACTTACATTTTGACTTGGCATGAATTCCATGAGTTTATCAAGTTTCCTTTGCATTGCGGCGACGCTCTCATCGAAGAGCCTCTGAAGCTCCTCAAGTTTCTTGTATTCCTCTTTAGAAGCAGCAACCTCTTCAGCTAATAGATCTCTGCTTCTCTCTGGTTCATTAGCTCTTTCCTTTTCCTTCTCAATCTCATACCGACTTTTTTCTAGAGCTATAACTCGCTTCTTCGGTACAGACCGTCCACGTGCCTGACCGGGAATACCTTTAAGTACTTGTTCACAAATTGCAGCTGGGGTCTTACCAGTAGCGTCTTTCACTCGAATCAATTCAGCCTACAATGAAAATAATTCCACCAAAGAAATATGAACATGATATATCAACGTAAGAACTGATAATCTCTGAATTAAAACTCAGACTCCTTAGACCGAAATAAATACCTGTTTTTTTTCAGCTGCCTCACTAACCCAAGCACCTTTTTTCATATTGTAGTGACCCAGCTTATAAGCACCAATGGAGTCTACATCTTCATTTTCATTTCGCTTCTGAAATAATTAATCAAATTAGGAGCACCATGAATCTAGTAAAAAAATAAAACTGATGTGAAGTAATGCTTGATTCGTACCATTTCTTCTATCATTCTAGCAATAGATTTGGTTCCATTAGCATTTGCGATGGTAAGATGTGCACAATTAGCCTTGTTTCTTGTACATAGTTTCTACCAAACACAAGTGTAAGAATGATTCATCTTTTGAATAACTATTTACGAAGAAATTAACATAAACAAATCATTAATTGTGACAGAAATATGTGGCCAAACCTTGTAGGAATCACTGTCAAATTTATTGCAGATTTCATCCCAGTTATGAGCATCCATTCCAGTTGGGACATTCATCAATGCCTCTTCCTTAGATCCATGTTCCTTGTAAAATTTATGCAATTTATGCTTATAATTCTTGAACTGAGAAATCAATTGCTTAGTTATGCATTCTCTTGCTAAATCTCCATCTTCATATTCGAATCCCACCTGTATGGATGCACAATTTGATGTCATTAACGTAAATACATTACACTATTTGATTTAGTCATATGGTAGGAAACTTGATAAATTACCGATGCATTCTTAATGATAGCATCTTTTAGGTCATTATGTTGTGATTGGAAATTCTCTAAAGTGAAGTCAGCCCATGACACATCCCAATTCAGTGATGAAGTGTTGTGAACCTGGGCCAATTATACGGATTGCTGTTTCATCAAACTGAACGACTTGAGTTATGTTGGCATCCCTTTTCTCGGCTAAGCTAATATTTCTGGTATTTTTCCTCTTTGCCAAAGCTCCTGACAATATTCAGCCACAATCACAATATATTATATATTTTACAAGTGCTGAAATTCCTTGTATGAATTTGACAAACATACCTATAAACAAATAATTTTTTAACAACACATACCTTTTGATGGCATTTTGTTTGAAACATGATCATTGATGTGCTCATATTCCTCATCTAGAATGGTCTCAGTCGTTTCTAAGGCAGGCTGTTTTTCATAGGCAGTTGATGCAATTGTTGATGCAAGTGGGCGCTTCAAACCAACACTTCTCTTCAATGTTTTTGTAGATGATTATACATCAGTATGTGGTTCTTCATTTATCTCTAGGTCTTCATCTCTCAAGCTAAAAGAACGATTTGATGATGGAGTGTTTTGTACGCGTTTCCCTATTATGCTTCTGTTTTGTTCAGAGTTGGTGATTGTGAGTCCGAATTTACGTTTTCCTGGTCCAGACATCTACATTCAACAAACATCACCATAGTTTTAACACACTTATAACACATGATTGCAATAGATTAACAAATTAATTCTACACATGATGTGAAAGTGGGAGTTAAAACCATACCTTTCTGGTTGTTCAAATCCTTCTCGTTGTCTTTTCTTGTAGACCTGAAAAATTCATCTAAAAAATCAGGCAAACGCATCAAAGAAAGAAAAGATATATCATTTGCTAAGCAAAAAGAAATCAAAGGCTAATACTATTAGTAATATAAAGAGTCGAACTATGCTCTCAGCCTCAACTTCCCCACTCACTATTGATTGACAAGAGTGGGAGAGAATATATAATGAGCATCATTGAGCTTTATCTCCTCAAAGATATACTTTGGCCTTTTATCTTTTTGCGGGAAAATGAAAATTTTACATCGTGTATAGATTCTTAGTGTGTTTTGCGCCAAATTTAATTTCCCTCCATTAATTTTACTTAAATGTCATCCATGATCTTGATTCCATTTTTCCCATCAGTTTTATGTGCTTAATTTCCCTCCAATCACTTTACGCACGTATCCATTATCATCTCCTTTTTTTCCTACTTTTTCTTTTGCAGGTAAAACAAATTATACATCAAATGAACATCTTCTTCTTATGGTATTTTATCTTCGTTTTACTTCCAGAAAAGTAAACATAGTTTACCACATATAAGAAGTAAAATAACTACTAACTAAACAAGAGTTTTGTGGAAAATTAATTGTAAGTTTAAAACAATGGGTAGACGTTTTTTTTCAATTAAATTCGTCTATTCACATGGCTAGAAAAGATTTTTTTTTTATATTGAATTTGAAACATAGTATAAGTATACATTTGGTAATTAAAAAGTAAAAACCAAACACTGAAACTTCACGCAGGATAAAATTTGTATTTGTTTCTATACAATACAAACTAAAATAATCAGCTTTTTTTTTTTTGCAAAGTACATCATTTTTCTTTCACACGATAACTTCTATCAAAAACGTTGCGAAACCCAGTGAAGAAGCACTCTCAAAAATCAGTCCAAATATCATCATCATCTATATAGAATCATCCAAGTAAGTCAGTTTTGTGATTTCCATGTATATATAATTTATTTTTAATAATTATAGTTCTCAAATTCTTTGCGTAGAAAGTTTAAGTAATTAGTCTAAAAAAGATGGCCACCACGTGTTTGTGGTTATGCCCGACTAGAGAATATGTCAAGAAAAGTATAGCGAATTAGATCGATTACGCAAATAAAAATTAAACTCTTTTAACATTAACATAGTTGCATCGCTGAATTTAACACTTTGACTAAGATTTTTATGTCTTATTTGAAATCTAACTTGATGTTTTTCTTGACTATGTTTTTATTGGATTGAACTATTTCAGGCTATGGATAAGAGTTGGATGCAGATAAAAGATAGAATGGATGAACATTATATAAAAGGTGTGAAGGAATTTCTTGAATTTGCTTTTACTAATGGGGATGATTCGAGTACAGTTCCTTGCCCTTGTAAAAAGTGCAACAATTTCCTTGGTTACACAAAAGAGGTTGTTGAGAAGCATTTGCTAATTAGGGGCATTCGAACTAGTTATGTTAAGTGGGTATACCATGGTGAACCAGAGACAACTGATATTGATGGAAGGTGTTCAATAGAGGAGGATGGTGACTACTTAGAAGAAATGTTAAATGATTTTGGATATGCTACTTTTGGAGATAATTGGATGAGTGATGATATTGATCAGGTTGATATTGATAGAGGAGATGCCGATGGAATTATGAGATTATTGGAAGAAACCAAGAAGGAACTTTACCCGGGATGCAAAAACTATACGAAATTATCTTTCATTGTCACCTTGCTTCATATGAAGACTATGAATGGTTGGACAAATAATTCTTTTGATGCGTTGCTTGGAGTATTCAATAAAATTCTTCCTGTTGAAGCTTCAATACCACCATCATACTATGAAGCAAAAAAGATAATCCAAGACCTGGGTTTCAAATATGAAAAGATACATGCATGTGTCAATGATTGTGTTCTTTATCGTAAAGAGTATGAGCACCACACTATTTGCCCGAATAAAAAATGCCAAGAACCACGGTATCAATTAGAGAATTCTAAAGTGCCTCGTAAAGTGTTTCGATATTTTCCTTTGAAGCCGAGACTTCGTACATTTTTCATGAACAAGAAAGTGGCTAGCTATATGCGGTGGCATGAGGAAAAACGGAATCATAAAGATGACAATGTCATGCGGTACCCTGCAGATAGTGAAGCATGGAAACACTTTAATATGGTCCATCAAGATTTTGCAAATGAACCTCGCAACATAAGGTTAGGTCTTGCCTCCGATGGATTCAATCCATTTGATATGAGTAATCCATATACGATTTGGCCTGTGTTTCTTGTCCCTTATAATTTGCCACCATAGAAATGTATGAAAGATCAATTTTCAATTATGTCAATGTTAATTCCTGGCCCTAAATCTCCCGGAAAGGATATTGATGTATATTTACAACCTTTGATTGATGAGTTAATTGAGTTGTGGAATGGAGTTGAAGCTTATGATGCTTCTAAAAAGGAACATTTCACATTGCGTGCTGCATTACTATGGACAATTAATGACTTTCCTGCTTATTCTATGCTTTCTGGTTGGAGAACCCAAGGATACTCTGCATGCCCAATATGCATGAATGATTCAACTTGTAAATGGATGGAGAATAGTGGGAAAGTATGTTACATGGGCCACCGTAGGTTCTTACTGAAAAATCATCGTTGGCGAAAGGCAAAAAATGCATTTGATGGAGCAATAGATGTCAGAGATCCAGTGTTACTCACGTCTGGACATGAAGTGCAACAGGAATTGGAAACTCTTTTAGATGAGTTTCCTACACCAGGAAAGGGAAAAAAGAAGGATCATGAACAACAACGTAAGAGGAAGCGGCAGCAAAAGCAAAAAATTAATGATAATGTGAAATGGACTAAGAGAAGTGTCTTCTTTGAGTTGCCATATTGGTCGGATTTGAAAGTGAGACATAACATTGACATTATGCATGTAATTAAAAATGTAGCTGAGAGTTTGGTTGGTACAATCATAGACATTCCTGGTAAAACGAAGGACACCTGGAAATCTCGAGAGGACTTGAAGGATCTAAAACTTAAAAAGGATCTGCATTTGAGAGAAAACGGCACTTCTTATGTGATGCCCATGGCGTCTTACCATCTAGCCAAAGAGGAGCGGGCAAAAGTAGTTGAGTTCATGTCATCAATCAAGTACCCAGATGGATTCGCTTCGAATATCTCCCGCTGCATAGAAGGTGCAGAGTTTCAAATATCGGGTATGAAAAGTCATGATTTTCATATTTTAATTCAAAGAGTTCTACCAGTAGCAATTCGAGGTTTTTTGACAAAAGAAGTTCGACAAATAATATATGGACTTAGCGCTTTTGTCACCACATTGTGCTCAAGGACATCTTATCGGGATCTTTTAGAAGCAGAAGAGAAAAACATTGCAATCATATTGTGCAAAATGGAGAAATTATTCCCTCCATCTTTTTTTGACATAATGGTGCATCTTTTGGTTCACTTACCTTTAGAAACAAAGATCGCTGGTCCAGCACAGTTTCAATGGATGTATCCCTTTGAGAGGTATGTTTTCTTAATTATTAGATTGTGTTATTATTATTTTTTTTTTGTTTCACTATTTTATACAACTTATTCAAATTTTTTAATTAGGAAAATGAGGACTTTGAAGGGATACATCAATAATAATACTCGACCTGAAGGTTGCATTGCTGAACGGTATATAGCTAAGGAATGTATGACTTTTTGCTCGATGTATTTAAACGACGTTGACACTACATTCAACAGAGTTGAGCGGAACAATGAAAGGCCAGCATCTAGGGAAAAATATGTTGTATTCTCAGGCACAGGACGCCCATTTGGTGCAACAAAACTAGGAGTCTTGACTGAGTCGGAATTAGCCAAAATACACTCTATACGTGCTAAACAATTTTGATGAGGTTGAAGAGTATGCCTTGTGAGTAAAATTTATATTTTTGCCATAATAATTTTTCTTTTTTGTAATTTTAATGCCTTACATAAGTTAATAACCTTGTGTCATATTAATTTAGGGAGCATAAAGAAAAGCACGAAGAAGAGAATTACGCAAACATAGATCAAAGGCATGAACAAGAATTTCCTTTTTGGTTTCGCCATCGTGTAAGGCAAATTACTTACAGTTTTGTTTACTTTTAAATATTAGTTGCATGCATGTATTGTTATGTAGAAGAATTTTTATTTTTTATTTTAATTTTTATAGATACAATCTTTAAGCACTACATGCGATGAAGAAATGCGATCCTTAGCAATAGGACCAGATGATCGGGTTAGGCATTACACTGGTTGCATGGTGAATGGAAATAGATTCCACACTGAATCCCGTGAAAAGGAACGGGAGACGCAAAACAGTGGGGTGGTTGTTCAAGGTATGTATGGGAATAACATGATTGATTTTTATGGCATTCTACAAGATATAATTGAAGTTGAGTACCTCGTTGGACAAAAGGAAATTGATTGTATTCAAGTGTGCTTGGTTTAATATGGGAGATTCATCTGGTATGCAAACTGATAAAGAGTCAGGGATAATCAGTGTAAATTTTTCCAAGAAATGGTACAAGGACCAACCTTATATTCTTGCAACACAGGCCAAACAAGCTTTCTATATG